CGAGACCGTCTTCTGCCACATACCTCCCAGCGGCCGATTAGATCACACAGGAAGGGCCTTCTCCAGGAGCCGTCGACCAGACAGTGTCGTCTGGCGGCTCCTCGGGGGAGGGCCTTATCTGTAGCTGCCCTGGCCCTATGGAACGATCTACCCCCAGAGGTCCGGACCCTTCCCACTCTCTCAGCCTTCCGAAAGGCTACTAAAACCTGGCTATTCCGGCAGGCCTGGAGCTGTTGACCTCATGAATGAGGTCCAGCCCTGCCTAGATTGAGTACATGATGTGTCTTTTTTAACCTGCTCTTCTTCTTTGTTTTTAATTTTTCATTCTTTTAGAGATGTATTCTGTAAGCCGCCCGGAGTCCTTCGGGATTGGGCGGCATATAAATTCCTTAAATTTGAATTTGAAATTTGAATTTTGCCTTACCTTCTAGATTTGTAAATATCTTCTTTTTCACATTGGCTAGATAACAAGGGAACAAAATCTGTTAATTGACTACAAAAGCAACTCATGTTTACATGAAAACCCTGTATATTGTTTTCATAAATTTCACTGTACACTTGATATGATCATATTGAAAAGATTCATATTAAAGGAAAGCATCTCAAAAGGTTTTTCCTATCTGCATTCATCACAATAATTATGCCGGCTCAATTATTCAAGCTTCTTAATGCTAACAGGAATTGATGTGTGGCTTTTGGAGATTGTTAGACCTAGTAGGTAATTATCATAGGTTCCAATGCATCTATGAAATGTAGCATATAGCTATGTAACACAGCTATGAATTCTAAAAAGAATCGCTGTTCCTTCTTTCAGCCATGGAACCAATCCATCAAGACAAGCGTGTCTCTCAAGGGCAGAATGGTGACTTGTATTTCTCTAATGTCATGCAGCAGGATGCTCTGACTGACTATAGCTGCAATGCTCGCTTTGCTTTCACACATACCATCCAGCAGAAAAATCCTTACACCCTCAAAATCATAACCAGTAAGTATTTATTATGAATAGCTTAGTTGGAGTAATATCAGCAAGGTGCTTTCTATACCAACTATGTTGACAAGGTTCAGAAAAAACATCTTTTTTGCAAATGTGGCATATAGTATATTTTCTACCGTTTAGACATTTCTTGATTTATGTTGTTTCCATTCTACATGTTTAGAAAAAATTGAAAATTATTTATCTTCTTACATGATTGTTTTGCATTAGTGTCCAAGGAGATGGGAAGGGAGGATGAAAGGGTTTTTAAACAGCCCTACTATTACTCTTATCTACTAGTGAAAGAGAAAAAAAGAGATGTCACAGCCCAGCTGATTTATCTACAGACCCAAACATTTAAATATTTTAAGGAATATAGTTTACTTGAATATGTTTTTGAGAATTAGAATAGTCTAAAATGTGAAAATCTGGTCTTGTGTTTTATTTTATACTCCATAGCTTTCTTGTTGGTATGATCGTGCACCACAGAATTCTCAGGGGTTTAAGGGACATTCCTGTTTTTAAATGGAGAAGTTTTCTTTAATATGTCTGTGGAGATTCTCAGTCATCCAGGTCATCGTTGTCAAAAAGGTGCTTTTTTCTTCAAAAGTCAACTGGACTGTTGTTGTTTTTTTCCATGGGGAAGAAGAAGAAAACATTTCACTTCTCATCCAAGAAGCTTCATTAGTTCTGATGGTGGGAGGGATGGAAGGATAGGTACTGACAATTGAGACTGGTTGGTGGGGGAATGGAAGAATTGTATTTCTTTGCCGTCATCTGGTCGTTAGCATTCTCTGAGAGCTGTTGAGGCCACTTGAGAGTTTATCTGTGCCCTCAGGTTTACCTCAATCAGGGTTCAACTGGTTGTAGAATCTTCTTGGAACTGCCGCAAAGCCTGCATTGCAAATTGGAAGTATGTGGTTCTTATTCCCCCCCCCTTTTTTAAATGTTTGTTTCTAGAGCCAGAGATCATTTTAGAAACCTTCAACATACTTTTATCTGATACTGATTTCATTATTTTGTTTCATTTCAAAACAATAAGTTAAAAGTTATTTCCACAATCAAGCTAAGTTTGATTTTTTTCTAAATGTATCCATCTCTATGCTTATTTAGTAATCTGTAAAGAAAATGTGCATTTGGCTTCATTCAGCCTCTTAACGTTCAGCTTGACTCTGAAAACCTGACCCTTAATTTCTTCTGGTATTTTTGTAATACTAGGTACTTATCCTTTGGACATTCCTGGTCTTCAGATGTCATTGATCTAAGAAATACTATAGACACTTGACACTATTGCAAAGACACAACATGCATTCATTCAGGGTCAGCTCTTCATTGCGGTATACAGGTTGTGTAAAGATAGTAAATTTTGTCTTCACTTTAAAAAAATTATTTTACCTGAATGATAAAAAATCTTACTAAAAAATTGAAGGCAGTAGCCCAGGTAATCTCCAGAAGTCAACTCTAACTTAAAGGCCCCATATATAAATAGAATAAGAGTGGGGGGAAGAGATAGCAAGTAATTAGTTCTTACCACGGAGAAGAGAACCTCAATACAATAATACAAAGTTCTTGGCTTATAGTACAGGGCGGGGCATAACCTTTTCCTAGGGGGTCACAGCAAGATCGACAGCAGTTTACAACTTCCGCGACACCTCATTTTAAAGCCCATAAAAAACTGAATTGAATGAGCTATTAAATGTTAAATTTGCTTTAAGAATGGCTGGAAAATTCGATTCGGAAGAACAAAGGATCATTGACAGAATAAAATGCATTGCCTTTCGAGAGGCTCGCGATGCTGGAGTGACGTTTATCAATCGAAAATGGATTGCAAACAAATTGAAACGTCATCCGGATTGGGTTACTGATAATTGGAACAAAACAGCCCAAGAATGTTTCACAAAATTTGGAGAAGGGCGTCCTCTGCAACTGTCCCAAGAAAGCAAAGCCATCATTGCAACTGGCAGTCGCAAACAACGAAAAGGAAACCGAAAAGTGGCCCAAGAAATCCTTCAAATTCGTGGAAAACGAGTTGATCAAAGGACAATCGGCCGATATCGAGAACGAGAAGGTTTGAAGCCATTCCACGTCATTTGCAAACCATTGAAAACTCAAACACACGTTCAAGATCGGCTTTGGTTGTGCGATTGGTTGTCTGAATGGACCGAGGAAGATTTTCTTCATTTGGCGCCATCTGACGAATTCTTTGTTTATGCCATTCGAAAACCGAATTTCCAGAACGATCGAATTTGGGCTAAAGACGTCGACGACATCGCCAAACATGAACGATATCGACAAATCGTTCGCAATCCGACTTGCATCGGGATTTTTGTCATTTTCACAGCCAAGAAACTGCATTGGGTTTTGAAGGATAAAGGGGAATCCTGGGATGGCAGTTATTTCCGTGAGAAAATTTTATTGGAGAATGTCATTCCATTTCTCAGTGATCCAGACAATGTCTTGGTGGTTGGTGAGGCTGTCTTTCTTCATGACAAAGCTCCTTGCATGCGTGCAAATGCGACTCAGCAATTGTTAAAGGAAAACAATGTCGAATTTTGGGGCAATGACGTCTGGCCGGGAAATTCACCAGATCTCAATCCGGCAGAGAACATTGGGGCCATAATTAAGGATGAAGTGGAAGCTCTGATGATTCAGGAGCAAGGTCAAAATCGATATTCGGTTGAAACTTTGAGAATGAATTTGGAAACTGTGTTGAAAAATCTGGAAAATCGAACAGAACTGTTTGAAGATTTGTTGTGTTCTTATCCACCTCGTTTGAATGCTGTTCGAAGGGCTAATGGTGGTCATACTGACTATTAAATCGTGTCAATAAACTCAGTTTTTGATGGGCTTTCGAATGGTGTATGAATTATTTGTGTTGTTATTACAAGTGTTGCTGTGACCCCCTAGGAAAAGGTTATGCCCCGCCCTGTAGATATATCTCACCACTGATTTATGTAGGCATATATTCTTGATTTTTTTTTAAAAAAAAATAAGGAACTTAGAGCCATCCTAGGTTTCTGCCTATAATGTTAACCATCTTGAGAATATTGAAGAAAGTTACTGTACATTGTAGCTCAGAGGAATATTTCTTTAATATGATCAGATATCACTAATGGCAAAATATTTATGGGATTATAAATTACATAATTACATAACATACAAAAAGTATAAAGGAGTACTTCAAAAAAGGAGAGTTAATGTTTTAGTGAAGAAAGTTCTGTGAGCCTTCTTTGTAGGAAAGGAGATAAAACTGATGAATAGATGTGGACAAGAATATAGCCAAAAAAATGAATTAGATAAATGAACATATGTAGAAAGAACCTGAATATTCTCTTTTAGTTTTTCAGTTTAATGATATCAACCATCATTTCAGTCATTTTGATATTCATCAGCTCAGTTCTTATTTGCAAATATCAGTGTTATCCCATTACCTGCTCCCTGATCATTTTATGTAAAAATGTTAGGGTAGAATTTGACTTCTAACATATATTGACGATCCCAGATGGAATGCTGAAAAATGTCTAGGACAACTCAGCACAGCCAACTCAGTGTAGCCAACTTGCCATGGCCAGCTTGCCAGAGCCAACTCACTGTACCAACTTACTGCGGAACAACAACTTCTCAAGACCAGCTTGCCACAAAAAAACTCATTGTGGGACAAGAATTACACTAATATCAAAGAAATGGTGGAATAGAATCATTGAAAAAAGGATGCAAAAGGAGGAGCAAAATGAAATGTGAAAGAAAGAAAATTTTCTTTTTAATTATTTTAAATACTTAAATTGAGTTGTTGCAACGTGCCACACTAAGTTGGTCACAGTGAGCTGACCCATTGTGAGTTGGCTGTGGCAACTTGGCCACACCAAGTTGTGCCATTCCATGCTGAAAGACGTCCTCTGCCATCCTGTACTATATTGTCACTGTTACTATGTTCAGAGTCAACATATGCTTTCTATAATTATATTTTTGTTTGATACTAGTCTTTTAATTGATGGTTGCTCATACACACACACAAATGCACAATTTATTTCTGTATGTTTTTATAATTCTGTTATTTCTTGTGAATTTCTACTTTACCCTGTAGAAATGTATAGAAATAAAGAAAGGTTTTATTCTAAGCTTGGAACAAGCAATTCTATTTAAAATATCCTGTTAAAACAGTTCTATGAATTCCAGTGAAATAAACCTCAAAACATTTCCGATATTTTCCTGTAGGGAACAAAATGAAACTGAAGAAACCATATACTTTTTGTTCTTATTGTTAGGCTGTCCACAATGCAATTTGTAGAAAAAAATGTTCAAGTTGCTATTGTTATTGTTTTTAATTTAACAAACATTCTGCAAACAAAGCATAGAAAGCATAGAAAGATTTCTGCTTGACTATTGCTATGGGAATGGAAATAAGTGTATTCCTCTTCCTTGGAGACAAGCTGGTCATGACAGACAAGTAATGAAATTTAAATCTAAGGTATTAAGCAATGCTGAGATGCAGTGCATCTGTGTTTGGAAAAATTTAGTTACATAAAATTTTATCTATTATCTAATTGAGAAGTGGTTCTTTGTGTAAAGATAAATAACATATACAAAAATTTGGCAGACACTTTGCTGCAGTTTTTACACTTTTCTTCATCTGCTAATGAAAATTACTGGCAGTGTAGGAGGCCACTTGGAAACAATCAGTCTATAATAAATATGATTGGTTGAAAGAAAAGGTGATAAATGAAAAATATGCATAATGACATCGTTTTCAGAAATATTTAAGCACTATTCTGTTTTAAGCTTTTAAATTGCTCTATTTTCATTTCTTAGTGCTGACAAATTACAAAATATAGTGAAATTTGTTTCTCTAAAAATACATGGCTGATGAATTATTTATTTTCAATTCAAGTTATAAGCAATTGAATAGTGTTCACAAATTTACATGAGATTTTACCAAACTTTTAATGTCCTTCATCTAATAATTTTAAAATACTTTAAAATATTTTCATTTGTTTATTTTTTTTAAAAAAATA